TTGGTGTTTGTGGGTATTTATGTCATGAAAGGAAGTGTTTAGAGGCTAATGTGTTTCCCCTCTACCTTTCTCCCTCTCTCTATCCCTCTCCTTATACTGGTTACTTTAAGTTGTTAGAATGAGATTATAGACAGTATTAACATCCACTTACACTATTTGTATTGTAGACTATTTACCACTCATAGTTTTATTCTGTTTCTTATTAATTAACTCTTATGGGCAAGAAATTAGTCTGAAAAAATGCAAAAATTTCATGTTTTGATGAATGCCATTATGAGAGCGCCTGCTTTCCTTCTCTGCATATATATATATATATATATATATATATATATATATATATATATATATATATAAGCATACTGGTTTAGTCTGAGTTCTTCCACGTACTCTGTACTGACACTGGTAATAATTAAGATTAGCAACAAAAGTGGTAACTGTTAATAGGCAAGGAAATGACTTTTAACAACCTGTAAGTTGTACAATTTAGCTGGAAACTTCAGGAAGTGAATACTAATCAGAGAAGTGTATATATAGTCAAATTAGTCGTTTCTACAGGCTACTAAACAACCATACTCCCACGTATTTATAAAACGTATCAGTAACAACTGTAGTCAACATGCATACTGTTTTGTGTGCATAACACTCAAACATAACAGTGTTAAAAACCCAAGAATTTAACTCTTTTATAAACACTGTTTTATTCAGAATTATAGAATTATTGCAGATTTGGAGTTGTTAGATTTCGTCACGAACTAACACCAACTAGAGAGATCATTGAAACTCAAGAAGGACTGGAAGGCTGTTTCGTCTTGCTTCAGGATTCTTCTTCAGTACGCACCCAAAGAGCCCATAAGGGATTGAACCGAAAACCTTCAGGTTATGAGACCCAACTCGGTTAACATCCAGCTACATAGACTCGAATTTAGTAATCTATGAATTCCTACTCTGTCAAATCGTGATATATTGGTACCTTCAACCAGTGCCACTAATCAGCATCCATTTTGCCCTGAAGTGGCAGAATACACTGGTCATTAAGACTTCAGAACATCCATCGAGTAGTCAACAATGAGCTTTAACTTTTAGACTATGGGATTTGTAGGAATGTGGCTAGATGTTCTCTTCTTGTCCAGTTTAGATTGATTGTTGTAGAAACTTGTTCATGCTGTCTAATTTGTGTATCAGTTTAGTTTCCAGACAATTCCAGTGGGTTCAGTTATCAGTGCACACAACAGTACAGCACTAACTAAGATCCCTTATTTAAGATGTGAATACTTCTGCTTGTCATTCCTTTGTCAATACCTCAGAGATAGAAGTCATTGACAGTGGATAGATATTAGTTACACACTCATCTTTAATTTGGTTTTCAATCACTCACTTATTTTTATGTCAATACATCTAAAGATTACTCACTCTTTCATTCATTCATTCATCCATTGATTCATGGTCTAGTGACTGTGTACTGAAGTCACTCACAGACTCAACTCTTCTGTCTGATCTTGACAGATTTTTCAATTCATCTTAATAGTATTACTTACTAGTCTTATGAATAATTTTTATTTTCATAACTATGAGACTTGCATTGCACGTAATATTTAATCATATGTAAATCGCTTTCTTCTGTATGGTAAACTTATAGGAAAAAACACACTCACATTTTGTTACAGCTCATGTCATTCTCTTGTACTTGAATTTTTAACATACTTGTTCTTAATAAGATAACATGTAATATTGTGTGTATGCATGTAGGAAATGCTTTGTTCTCCCATAGAAGCTTATGATAAGTTCGTGTGTTTGAATGGGAAAAAAAAGGAGAGAAAGGAAGAAAGATAGAAAGAATAACATTGTCTCTGACAGGGAAAATTTATACTCAAATAATGACTGGTTTTAATATCACAGGGATGAATGAAGGTGAAAGCCATTGTAAGTTGTTTTCGTGCATAGTACAGCAAAAGGCTAGAATAACTATACAAAAATAAGTTGATAAAACACCTTTAGAAAAGCCAAACGTAACATCTAACATGAATATAGCATTCGAAAGAGGAGAACACGAAGTTCAACAAAGATATCTTTTCGGCAACTTAATTTTCAAAAGCTGTAAAATCGCATTTAAATACTTAGTATTACGTAGAAACTTAATTACGAAGACGAATAAGAGGTGACAGTTATTTTCAACTAGATCTGGTTTACGAGAGGCTTAGAAACAAAATTAACATTCGTCTAAACAAGTAATACGTAAAACTTGTCGTGATAGATTGCAAAAAATTTGGGCTATCGCAAATAACCTCTGTCAGTATGTTGCATATACTTTATTTTATCCAGTTTGTTGAAATCTTGTAAAATATGACCTCTGCTAGTGTTGTGAGCCCTAGAAGATCTGGATTTCGCAGATGATATATGTCCAATGTCACACAAACTCGAAGAAATACAGGCGAAACTCAACAAACTGGCTGAAAAGGCAGCGAAAACAGGGCTGCAGATGAACACGGAGAAGACAGAGGTGATGAAGATGACCAACCAACCAACAGCAACAAAAACCAGCACCAATCACCATCGACAGGAGAGATTTAACAGAGGTTACTTCCTTCACTCATCCAGCCAAGAAGCATTGGACGAAGATTTCAAAGTTAGAATTGGAAAGGCGAGATACGCCTTCGCCAACCTACAGCCAATTTGGAAATCTTCCTCACTCCGCTCCAACAGCATAAAGAAAAAGATCCGGATTTTTAACACCAATATGAAGTCAGTCAGTTCTTCTATACGGGTCAAAAACTTGGCCAGTGTGTAACGAAAAGCATTTCCAACAAGTTTCAGACTTTCATCAACTGCTGCCTTCGCTCCATATTGAAAATAAGATGGCTAGCTGATCAGAAAGAATTAGTTCCCAGTCAAGAAACGTTGACTGGAAACAAACCAATAGGCGAGAGCCCACCGCTCAACAAATATGTAGGAGGAAGTGGAGATGGATGGGACATATATTGATAATGCCGCCGAATGACATCGCGCGCAATGCAGGCCATCACTTGAGTGGAATCCTGATGGGAATGACGAGTGGGTCATCACTTCGAGGGTGACATGGAGGAAATCGAGTGAAGAAGAGATGAGACAGTTTGGTCAGTCGTGGACCCAGATGAAGAGGATGGCAGAAAATAGAACAGATTGTAGGTGTGTAGTTGAAGCCCAGTGTTCCACTTGGAACGCAAGGGAATAATAACAATAATAGTGTTCTTTACTCTGGCTAGTACTTAAGGTATTTACAACGTGTTATAATCCAGAAATATGTACTAAGTATGTAGTGCGTCGGTGGTATAGCGGTTAGGACGCTCGCCGACCATGCACATGGTCCGGGGTTCGATCCCCGGCCGACGCACACCTTTACCTCTCTAAGCCAGAAATCATTCTGGTAAAGAGAAAAAGTTGGGCATGAGGCTAGCAACCCCATCCTGTAAAATAAACTCTACTACAAAAACTTCAAGCTACTAGCTCGAAGCCCTATGTTCCACTGGGGAACGTGAAGGAAAAATAAAAATTATTTTTATGTACTAAACATGTGGAAAAGAATTATCCTTGATGGATGGCAGCTTGTCCCAGAGATGACTGTCCTTGAGTGGTTTCCGTGTTTCACTAAATGTACTCCTACACCTTTTTATAATTCGCATTCAACAAAATGTCGTCTGTATCTCGAAGTAGAAAAAGAAAAGGTATCATATCAGGTCCGATAGAAGAGTGTCACACGATCTGCTGTCAGTTAATCATTTTTTTTTAAAGTGTTGGTTTTGTAGGGATTTGGTTTGATTGTATGGAGGATTTAATCATGAGCTGACATCAGTTAGAGAACCACTGGAAAACCTGGGAGTACTGGACAGCTGTTTCGTCCTAGTTTGGGACTCCTCCTCAGTACGCATCCACCGTTAATCTTTTACTTGAAGATCATGCACGAAAAGGAAATATCAAGCCTCAGACTCTGCTGAAAATCCTGTACGTTATATAAACATTATTCAGAACAAAGCTATTGTTATTATTATCACCTGAAGAAATTCAAATACTTATTGACTGCCTCCTTTCTCCTTATTCAGGTATATTGAAATGAAACCTCGGCAAGTTTTGTTTTACTCTAACTTATGTTGTCATTCTGCAGAAATAAAACATTGGTTAAACTTACAGAACTAAAAATTAGGTGTACCCATCAAGTAAATGTTTGACGAATTACTCTATAAGTGTGGTTTGAGTAACAAGTTATCAAGCAAATTAACATTACACACTGTGTTTTATTCACAAAAAATCACCATCATTTAGATATTTAGCTTGTTAACGGTTTTTTTTTGAGCAGTTGTCAAGTTTCGTACGATAAATCATTCTTTAATAAAGAGTTGTAAAAGATATACTCGACATTTATACATTTATATTATTGTCCAGCGTAAACAAAAAACTGTCACACTTCTTATACGCTGTGTAAAATGCACAGGACGTATACTGCTTAAGTTTGACAATGGTGGTTTTCTATTTCGACATATCTAAACAATAATTGGTTGGTTTATAAAATCACGATACATTGAACTGAACTGTACACAAAAATTTCCCTGTGATGTTTGCAGTTGCCGGTACAGCTCCTAGTACAGATGCTTCAATGACGTTTAAGAGCTAATGGTGACCAGCAGTTGAGTCAAGAATGCTTATTTCTTCCTATCTGATACTCGTCAGCTGGATGCGATTGCAATCTCAGTACCCATAGTCTCAAACCTTAGTGACAATGTTACGGTCAGGCAGCACCAACGGGACTATTTGTATTGTCCTTCTGTTTCTCGCTTCAAAAGTGTGTATCTTAGTTCGACTCCCAAAAGTTTTTAAGAGTAGAATATTGCTCACTTTCAGGAAGTGTTACTTTATTAAGGAATATTGTGTATCCTTAAAGTTCCCTTAAATAAAGTGAAGCGTAATATACTTTGAAGTAAATGTAACATTCTGTCTATAAAGATGTGCCTTATTTTTCCTCTCATTTTTAGGTATTTTGGTTGAAAGATGAGAAACGTGTCGACAGCAAATCATTTCCACATATTATAATCAATGATTATAATCATTTAATTATTGAGAATACAACAATTGCTGATAGTGGGAATTATACATGCGTCGCGTCATGTCTAGGCATTGAATACAGATATGCTAATGCACGTGTCAATATATTTCGTAAGTTCAGCTAATTTTATGCATATATATATATATATATATATATATATATATATATGGTTTATTGCAGAAGACTTTTTCACATAAATTACTGACCAGTAGTGAGATAATGACTGTTCTTGCATTACTTGTTACAATTAATTAAGCATTACACTAAAATGCACAAAGTGAACTCATTTTGGTCCCCATTACTCATATGCTGATGACTCTGTCTCTTTTTTTAAAATTTTTATTCACTCATCATGTACAACAGTGAATGAATGATATTCAATAGGCAAATATGTAACGAAATCTCACCTATATTATCATTCTCATTTTATGCATATGAATTTTCTCCACCCATTTGTTTTTCATTTCTAAACGGAAGCTAATTTAAGAGCAAGGTTAGCGTTATAAAAACAATTGGAACATTTACTGTGGCATCTCATATATATACACATTTCATAGGCGCTTGTTTTAGTAGGAAATGACTTCCAAAATGGGGGTGGACTTATATCATTGACCTAGTTTTTTGTTCTTGGGGGAAAAAGGTGTTCTCAGCTAAGAACAGTTAATGACCAAAAGACCACTTGTTCTAGTTTTCCAGACTTAAGCAGAACAGTTTTGCTTTAATTTCATTAGAAATAAGCTGAAAAGTTGAAGTATGATTCATAGAGTTTATCGAAGCATTGATCTTAATTGTTGCGTTGATTATGTTATTCCAGCTTTTGAAAACAAATGCAACTAATAGTAGCGTTTTGACTCTGACCAAACGGTAAATATTAGTCAACGATGAATAAGGTAGATTGGTGATCAGTAAAACGAATGGTGTCTGTGTGTGTGTGTGTGCGTTGGTGGTTCAGTGAATCAGAATGCTAGCCAACTATGCATGTGGTCCTGGTGTGATTCTTGACCGACGCACTCTTAAATCTCGACTAGCGAGTAGTATTATTGTATTATTATTATCCCCTTGGGTTCCGAAAGAAAAATGGAGCTTCAATTACACGTCTACACTTTCTTCTATTTTCTGCCATCCTCTTCATCTGGGTCCACGACTGACCAAACTGTCTCATCTCTTCTTCACTCGATTTCCTCCATGTCACCCTCGAAGTGATGACCCACTCGTCATTCCCATCAGGATTCCACTCAAGTGATGGCCTGCATTGCGCGCGATGTCATTCGGCGGCATTATCAATATATGTCCCATCCATCTCCACTTCCTCCTGCATATTTGTTGAGCGGTGGGCTCTCGCCTATTGGTTTGTTTCCAGTCAACGTTTCTTGACTGGGAACTAATTCTTTCTGATCAGCTAGCCATCTTATTTTCAATATGGAGCGAAGGCAGCAGTTGATGAAAGTCTGAAACTTGTTGGAAATGCTTTTCGTTACACACTGGCCAAGTTTTTGACCCGTATAGAAGAACTGACTGACTTCATATTGGTGTTAAAAATCCGGATCTTTTTCTTTATGCTGTTGGAGCGGAGTGAGGAAGATTTCCAAATTGGTTGTAGATTGGCGAAGGCGTATCTAACCTTTCCCATTCTGGCTGCCTGGCTGCCTTTGATATCTTCATCAGTTTCATGTGGTTGAAACGATGCTTCCTAGCCGGGTGAGTGAAGGAAGTAACCTCTATTAAATCTCTCCCGTCGATGGTGTGATTGGTGCTGGTTTTTGTTGCTGTTGTTTGGTTGGTTGGTTGGTCATCTCCATCACCTCCGTCTCCATTAAAAATATCCACTGAACCGTTCAAAAGTTATGCGTGAATACAACTGTCATTGCTAAATCCTTTCTGTACTTGAAAATTTGTTTTCTCTTCAGCTTACAATTCAGTTATGAATCGACCGGCAAATGATGATCTAACTAGTTGGGGTGATTGGGGAGCATGCCATAAATTTACAACAGAAGGAAATAATCCCCAAGTGATATGTCAACAAACACGTTATCGTCTATGCGCGAACCGGCTAGCATCCATGGTGGAGTTGAAATCACCTGATGTTAGTTCACTGTTAAACAACCGATGTCCACTACCACAATTTCAAACAAGAAACTGTTCGGTGAATCAGTGTACAAGTAAGCAACAGTTTCAGTATTCAGTTATCTTTGGCTAATTTATGCATTATTAACGTAAACGCATTATTGTCGCAATGAAGTTTAAGTGGGTAGTTTAAAGATATATCAGATATGTATTAATATTCCTTTTCAGGTAATTTAGTTACGATAATGTTAGCATTATGTCCTCAGAGTTTCACTAGACATTACTTATGAAATAACTAAGTCGCACATTTTTTCCCCAATAAGTGCTCTCATAACTTACGACATATTTAGATTAAGTTTTCAAAATGGGCTTGTACGTTGAGGAGGCCGTGAAATGACATTGTGCGCAGTACAGGCCGTTGCTCAAGCGGGTCGTCCATAGAGGAGGTGGGGTAGGGGGAAGGAGATGAGAGAATATGGGCAAGCTGAAGAGGACGGCAGAGAATAGAACAAAGTGAAGATGTGTTGTTGAAGCCTTATGTTCCACTCGGAACCCAAAGGAGTAATAATAATAATAAACCGCCTATAGGCCTGAGTAGTCCATGGAAACCTTCTCAGACGGTACGTTGTTTTTTAAGTCTTTTTATTGACTCGTTTAATTGTTTCCCAACCTTTTAAGTCGGATCAATGGAAGATGAAATTTTTTAGGAACATTCAATGATGATTTGTCGTCTAGTTTGAGACTTATTGGCAGTACGCACCAAATGAGTTTCAATGGTTCCCCAAGTGATATCATTCCGTGGTCAGACCTGAAACAAATTCAATCAATACGAACTAATTCTTGAAGATTATTCAGTATACCATTCATCATGCCCATGTGTTCCGTCTTATTTATGAGTAATAATCCAGAGCAATACGGTACCATCTGAGAAGGTTTTTTGGATTACTCAAGCCTATGGGTACAATCACATCAAAACTATACGGGCTAACAAAAGTGCATAAAAATGGTTTACCACTTTGGCCAGTATCAAGCATGTCGAATTCCCCGTATCACCCAGCAGTCAGATAGTTGGTAAAACTCTTACAACCTCTGTATAATGAACTGATGAAATGTAGTGTAGAAGACAGTTTTACAATTTGTCGAAAGAATAAGAGATTCAAGGGTTCATGATATCTTTTGATGTATCCTCTTTGTTCACTAATGTATCGTTGATTAAGACAGTGCTTTTCATATGCTATGAAACTACTTATTATTTATCTCTCAGCGAATTCTGTCCGCGAATGCCAATGTATTTCCATTTTAAGACGTTTTCTGTACAACCAGAAGACGAAATGAAGTCATTTGGTTAAAAGATGTTAAAACGGTTGTCTTTTAAGGAAGTTCGCAACAGTATTTTAAAAGTACTGCATGTAAGCAGTCTACTTTTCAACTACAGACATTTGTTTTACGCTTTTGTTTGGCCAACCTGCATTCATGGAATTAAAAACTGTTAAGTATACCGAGAAATTGAACTCCTCTACGATTAATTTAACTGCATTCCATAATTAATATATTCTTCCAGTGCTTGACCTATCAGACAGCTTATATTCTTGTTTAGCTTGATGGTGACTAGCAGTGGAATCCAGGGTCCTATTTCACATTCAACAGCTGGATGTACGTGAATCCCCAGTGAGTGGTGGTCTTCCCACTGAGATTCAAACCTTACATCCATCGTTTTAACTGTCAGTTGGCCACGAGAGCCTCTTATTTTGTGACGACTACCAGTTATTATTATTGCTGAAAGTAGTTTGTGTTTCCCGTTATCACCACCCAAGATGATATCATTGTTAATCCTCTCATATCATCGTAGAGTTCGTGCTAGGATTTGACATATTAATAAAAACGCTAAGCGTTTTGGTCCAGTCATTCAGCGCAAAGTGCATACTAGCTCTGTTAAGAAGAGCATATATTCTTGTTTAAATCGTTATACTGCAAAGGTGGTTTAAAATTTAGGTTTTCCTAAACAAGTAAATTCTCTAGGTTACAATAAAACACAATCGTCAAGACTAGAATTAGGCCGTAATTAACCATGTTCTAGAGCACCAGTTCAAGGTAGATATTCATTTATTATGTGATCCACATTTCGAAAAACGGGAGTGACACCAGTTCTGATTGAATTCATAAAAATGAATTTTAATTTGATAAATTTATCTGATCTCTTGTCGGATGATCAAGAAGATATACATACATTTACATATATATGGTAATAAAAAAATGTGTTTATCTAAGAGAGATGGATCTAATACCACCCATGTTGTATTCTACTGTTGTATAATGGTGAAATCGATTGATTTCTTTTTGTAGGTTTCTTGAATTCACCTGTTCCATTCGGGGTTCATAATGCAGATATGAAATCAGTGACTACTATATCAACAGTTCCAAGTACACAATTGTTTAGAACTCGAGAAATTGCAATTTATGTTGGCCTGTTCTTGTCTTTAGCTGTTTTACTGGCTATTGTCGCCATAGTGGCTTTAATAACACGACGGAAAAGTCTAAAATTCTCTACTACACGTGCACTTCATTATTCTAGTTGTTTTCATGGTGAGTAATTATCATCTCTGTTTTGATGGATGAACAATTTTCGTTATTTTTGTTTAAAACTTTAGTCCATAAGGTTTTATTCGTCAGTATCGTTCAAAGTCAACTAGTCATTTTTCATTGAGTAGAAGAAAGTCTGGAATGCGTAAAAATGAATAAAATTTAAAAAATGACTAAAATGCCATTTGTGTTATGGCGATGAATTAAAAAAAAAGTTTTTTGTTCAATGAATGGTTAGAAAGGTTCCAGAGGTTGTGTCAACCTGTTGATTTTAAAAACAAACATTAGAACACCTTGAACAGTTTAGCCATCATAATAAAGCCAAAATAAAACCTCTGACCTGGAAATTGCAGCAAATCTGCATCGCTCAGCTGTTTGCTTCATTCTCACTTTTAAATCTCATCGTTCGGATTCTGGAAATGTTTTTGCATATTAAAGGCGAATTAAATAAACGATGGTGCGTCGGTGGCACATCGGTTAGGACGCTAGCCGACTATCCACATGGTCTGAGGCTCGATCACTGGCCACAGACGCACTCCTTCACCTCTCCAAGCCAGAAATAATGCTGGTAAAGAGGGAAGGTTGAGCATGAGGCCAGCAACCTCATCCTGTAAAATTAAATACAGCTACAGAAACTTCAAGCCACTAGCTAGAGGCCCCATGTTCCACTGGGAACGTGAAGGAAAAAAAATAAATGACGACTATAAAAGTGGCTATAGACTTCTAATCTTTCCGAAGGCCCGTCATTAGTTTCACGAGAAAGGAGTTTTCACGGGATAATGAGACTGCTTAAATGAAATTTTACAGTAGCTCATCCTAATTAAAGCATGTGGGACTAGTATTGTAACGACAGAAGACAAGGGCCAGGCAACAGATAATTTATTGAGAAAACCAAGGAGTATTTATGGATTTTTATGTGCATTATTATTAGCTTTTTTGTCGACAGAGGAGCAACGTCTTCTGATTGGTTGTGTTCTTGCTAGTGACTATTCTGTACTGCTTGTAACCGTTCCTTAGAAAGTTAAGCTATATATCTCCGAATCGTATTTGCACATGTTAAGTCTGCTGTGATTGTTTGGTGAGTTCCCCAAGGTTAAGCTTTGTTATTGTTTTATCTTTTGACCCCGATTTGGAACGTAAACATTGACGTAAATTGTTGTCTACAATTTCTGCTTGCAGACAGCTCTCACCACAGTATGACTCGGTTAATTAACCGGTAACTAATCAATAAATAACAATACTATGCTAGTAAAAGATAAAGTAAGCCACTGGTATATGAGTGATACCCAGGCGGATAATGTGACTTGTGAGCACATCACTTGTGATTCTTTCTAACTAATGAGTGGAAATTAGAAAAATGACCCGAGACACAGTGGTAGTACACTCATCGCTTAAGTTATACCTCCGCAATACTCAGATGAAATAGAAAACTCTATTGTAAGCGAAGGAATTATCTCCTTGACCGACTGAGTTCCATCATAGAACTTTGTACAAAAGTACAGCATTTCAAGTTGGTACACTCGATTTAGACAGAAAAAAAATGAGGTCCAAAAGAACCATACTAAGCAGAAATATGAGGGAGAAAGAGCGGCAACGAGGAGAAACACATAGGATTGATGGATATAGGACATTGCAAAACGGTGAATTCATCTACGCCATGTCACCAATGCCTACAGGGAGGGCTTAAACTACCTGTTACAGACTGCATGGACTGTTGTCATTTTTCGATCTGATCACTCCTAACCCTTTCCCAACTTAATCCTATGTTGGCCAGGAGTGCTCATCGAGGAGGGCGGGGACTCAACAGTTTGCGATTAGTGTCATAACCGTCTGAACCGATGTGTTGTAGCTCATTAACCTCATCGATCGACTGACCCTCCTTACTTAACACTCTATACCTAATCTTAAGTATTGCTCTGGATACTATACATTTTAACATGAGATATAGAAAGCAAGCATCTCTTCTACTACTTGTATAATTATTCTCAGTAATATTACTTCCAAAGTTTATCTTTTCGTACAACAATAATAAAAAAGATAAATGACACAACTACGAGTTTCGGCTAAGGAGAGAGATAAGCATGAAAAATTCCTGAACAGTAGTAGTCTACTTTCTAAATGATTTCAACAATAATTTACATCTCTAATGTGGAGAAGAAAAAATAAAGCCAACAATGATTTTCTCTACTCATTTATCACACAAATAAATGAAAAATAGTGTCGCTACATAACTAACTACTGATGTTTTAATGGTTGTACTGTCGGCTGATACCCAGTTATACAGTCAGTTGACATTTTATGCTGAATAAAACATTAAGAGATAACATATTAGCGCCTTGTTTGCATGTATGTCTAGTGATAAATGCCACAGAATACATATTATATGAATATATATATATATATATATATATATATATATATATTTATATTTATATAAGTGAACCTAGATTTCATACGACCTAGGATAAATTTATTCTTCTACTGTGAAATTTTAAGGATGAGTAATGAGTTCTGCACTATTTAATAAATTACTTTTATTGGATAAAAACTGGTTTTTTATGATCTATGCTTGTTGGTCTATGATTACTTTTCTATGAATGTTATACATTCGGCGGATTCTGCAAGAGATGAACATTATTTAAAGTCACTAATGTGATTTCCGGTGGTAATTTGCGGTTCTCGGAATTTCAACTAATACTTTAAAAAAAAACGGTTTACTTTTACTGAACTCAGGAGAAACCCAAGTCATGCATCGATCAGATCGCAAAACTTGGGATCATTATTGAACAGAGCTAGGAATGGCAGTCACCTCTCTATCACAGCTTCGTTGACTTTGAAAAGGCCTTCGACAGCGTCAATTAAGAGGGGTGAATCGAGAAAACTACTTCGCTAGTATAGCGTACTACCAAAAATTATACACCTCATCCAACAGTTGTACGAAAATGCTGCATGCCAAGTAGTCCACAACAGGAAACTCAAGGAATCCTTCGAAGTGAAGACGGGAGTAAGACAAGCTGGCCGTCTACTGTCTTCAGGGATTTTCCTGATTGCGGTAGACTAGATAATGCGACGGACAACAGGCAGAGCAGCGGGGAAACAGGCATAAAATGGACCCACACAAAAAAAAATAACTTAGAGGATCTGGACTTCGCCGATGATAGATGTCTGATTTCCCACAATCTGGAATATATGCAAGTGAAAACCAACAAGTTGGCAGGAGAAGCATCCAAAGAAGATAGGACTTCAGGTGAACAGAGAGAAAATTGATGTGGTGATGAAGATTCCTGGCGGTGAGGAACAGAAACAATAATCAGGATAAATGAGAGGAGAAATCTAAAACAAGCAACCTCTTTTACTTACCGACCTGGGAAGCATCGTTTCAACTACGGGCTGATGGAACTGAGAAGGATATCAAGGAGAGGATAGGGAAAGCAAAACAAGCTTTCATTGCTCTCAAGTCTGTGTGGAGATCAACACTGAGCACTCAGCATGAAAATTAAGATCCGGATTTTCAACTCCAACGTGTAAGTCAGCGCTACTATACGGATCAGAGACTTAGCGCATTACAAACGTCACTTCGCATTAACTGCAGACCATCATCAACAGCTGTCTTCGCTCAGCACAACTCAAGATCAGATGGCCGGCCAGAAATCATCAGCAACAGGGTGAGATATCTGGCACTGAGCGAACCAACCCAGGATGAACCAACTGTGCAAGAGATATGCAATAAATAATGGAGGTGGTTTGACCATACTCTGAGAAGACACAAACCATCAAGTGAGTGATATCACACACCAGGCCATCTCTCGAGTGGAACCCGAATGGAAAGCGGGGAGTTAGTTGGTCGTCATTGTGGGCGGCGACATAGAGGAGGTGATTCGAAGAGGAGATGAAGGCATGCGGGCAGCCGTGGAGCCAGGTGAAAAATTCGGCAGAGAACCGAACGCAATGAAGACTTGCGGCTGAAGCCCTATGTTCCTCTAGCATTTAAAGGAAACAATAATATAATGATAGTAATATAAACCAAATCACAGTCCAGTCAGTCTTTCCTTCAAAATCATTATTATTTCACAAAGTATTGCAATTCACTTTGTTAAAGGCATAATTTGAATCTCCACGGCTAAACTTTACCGTTGTTGGCAGCAGCGTTAGTCAAATGATATAGAGGGATGTTGTTTTTGTTTCATTTCAAACAAGAAGTTGTGAATACGTTTCACTGTAGACCTCCGAAGTACAAGCAAGTTATGCTTGTGTGTGAATTTAGGCATCCTCAAGGTATGCACACTACATGAGAAGCTGTGTTATAGTGTAATAATGTAATGAATAAACACGCTTTTAATTGTACCATTCATCGATAACTCTTATTACTTAGGTAGGCGGAGATCTTGAGTAGCTTAACAATCAATAAGATATGATATGTCACAAGAATCATTGCGTAACAAACAGTAATTTACTCAATATTCTACCCAATTATATATTAAGTGCACACATCATTAACTTCAGATACTAAAGAGGATTGGCACAGGGAAATAGGATTTCTAAATAACATTCCCTCTTAATTTTTCCCCCTGAACTAGTCACCCACAATTTACTGGATTTTTCAACAGAACACTATAATTTACCAGTCTTTCTTGGTATCTTGTTCATCAGTCTTCAATTTTATGGTTTCGATTTTCTGGAGAAGTGGATTTCACTCTATTTTAAGCCCTGATTATTGCTACTTGATATGGGAAGTCTTGATATCTTGCGTTGTGTAGAATCCCATAAGAATCTCTGCTTTCATATGACTTGACTTCATAGAAGTCATGTAGCCTTCAATTTCATTTTATGAAGAAGAATGTTAATAGGCGAAAAGAACAGTTTAAAAAAGAATTTATTAAATTAAGTCCTTTTGTATGTTCGATTATGTAATGGCATTTATGACAGAGTAGAAGGTCACTCACTGTATTGGTAACAGCCTATCAAGATATGCATCTATGAAAACAAAATACCTTGAGATTAGTAATAAACTGTCAATAATAATTCAAGCATTGAACAGAACAAATAATCTTTCAATAAATCAGTTAACCAGATGACTACCAGAATGTACCAGTAGAATACAAATAGATAAGGTGGTTCACCAATATTTTCTAATCGTCATTTCCACCTTACTTGCCCGCATTATCAACAGAAAAGAGAGTATCTTTATTTGTAAAAATTTCCCATGCTGATGTTGATCTTTTCGTGATAATTTGTCGTGTTGCAATTTTCTAACTGATGATGATGATGAGGAGGAGGAGGCATCAAACAACTACACTCGAGGTCATTACACAAACACTAATGAAATTCTAGACAGAATATTAGAGAGAACAGGTGAACTTAATCTTAAGCATCAGTGGTCAGTTCTGTCTTAAGTCTAGATAGAAATCTGTTCACGATATGCCTTCTCAGTTAAAGCTACAATCAGGTGTGTTGTTAATTGGAGATAAATACGTGGGTATAGAAGTAAGTTTATTCAAAGAACCATCAGAAGGTAGAAAGGCTATGACAGAACTGACTCTTTCTATGCATAGTCAACATTTAGTCAATTCATTAACCAAGAAGTGAAATCCAAGTGTGTATCTCCATCAAGTGAATAACCCTTGGAGACTGGAGTTCGTGTGTTCTATGTGGTAGTGACCAAGTGGTCTGGAAGAAGACACTAGCAGTAAATGTCACTTCAAAAATCTTGCTCAGTAGGCTCTTAGATTGCAAATACTTCTATCGGGATATGTTTTTCTGGGCACATTTCATTAAAGGATGTGTTAAGAGAGTTGTATCACGCTTCAATGACCTATTCACTTGGTCTATGTTCGTAAAGTTGTATTGCTTAACAAGTACTTACTTTCCCTACTGTAGCCTGACTAACATGTACGCTGATAAGGCATTACGCCAAAGTACGATGAAATCTTAACACCAGGTGAGATTCCTTGGATAAATACATGCATAAGATGGTTGGAATCAATCGGCAGGACGCCCTCAACCAAGGTTTAGTGCAAGCTGTTACTGGTTAGCAAGGCGTATATGCAGTTATCTTGAAGGAACTTATATCCCTTCTGAAATTCGAACCTGCGTCACCCAGTGACTGATAGAATTCAGTCTGCACCAAACGAAGGACTAGACTCACTACACTAGTCACTGACTAGTGTCCAGTCAAAGTGGAGACATATCCTCGGGAGGATGTAAATTTGATTATCACACCGACTCTCTACAGAAAAAGGCGGCGCATACAAATTTGTTAAAGTCTTAGTTATTTAGTCCTAAATAAGCATAGTTTGGTTTAAAATATACCTAACATAACACTGTTACCTACATCCGTGCATATTTTGTTTCAGAGCTACTTTTTTGAAGTTAAATAGAAGGATTAGAAGAAGCCATCTACCTGACAGTAAGACATAAAGTACACTACTTTTTAAACAGTAGTATAGTATAGCTTGCCTGACATGTCAGACTGTACACCTAATTAATATGTTTTAATCAGCTAAGTTCAAATTATAGGACTGTATTGATTTATTAATAAGGCCTCAGTGCATCAACTTCAATTTGTATTCACTGCACTGCGTTTTTAAATACGTATTTTAATACAATTATATATTCCAATCTTTTTTAATCTACAGTATAGTTTCAATCACTTCTGTTCATTTATACATTAGGTAAGAGATCATGCAGACAAGAAAAAGTTAACAAGAAACCTCAAGGTGAGTCTATATGCTTCTTGCAAATTTAATTTCATCATCGGTACCGAACTAGATTTTCATTTTCTTAGTCGTTGAAGTAGTTATACATAATATAACACTATGTATTAGATGGCAGGCACTCACCGACTCGAAGGTGGGGACAGTTACTCACAGAAGAAGATATTGCCAAGTGGTTGCGCTGTGTCGTGAATTGGTGGAAGTTAGAATTCATGGGTTGGTCATTGTAACGGGTCCCAGTGACTTAATCGTCTACGAGCTCACCTTGTAACCAGAAGGTCCTAGGTTGGAACCCTGGCGGTAGGTGCGTACTGATGAAGAGTCCTGAAATGGGACGACGGAAACAGCTGTCCAGTACACCAGGTGATTTTCCAGTGGTTCTCTAACTATTATCAGCTAAGTTCCTAAAACCAATCGAATAAATTTAAACAAAAATGAGATTTGGTAGATGCGTAAAAAACTTAAGTTTGAAATTATCAATGTTAATTAGTTATCTATCAATCTTCAGAATCTATTCGTACTCTTTTTCTAAGTATGCAAATTACTAACAGTCTGCGGAATCAATGAACGGAACTTTAGGAATTAAATATTTGCCTGGCATTGTGTTGTATTTCTGAAATAGAATTTTGCATATTAATATGCCTTAATAAGTGGCTTTAAAAGTTGTCCGTTGCTCTGGTTGATCTCAAGTAAGGCATTATTATTATTATTATTATTGTATCCTTTAGTTCCTAGAGGAACATAGGGCTTCAGCTGCGCACCTCCATTGACTTCGGTTTCCTGCCAACTTTTTCACCCTGCTCCAGGTCTGCCCACATGTTTTCATCTCCTCTTCACATGACCTCCTCCAAGTCACCCTTGGACGACCAACTCGCCGCCTCCCTTTCGGGTTCCACTCGAGGGCTTGTCTAGTGATGTCACTTGATGGTTTCCTCAGCGTATGGCCAATCCATCTCCATTTCTTTCTGCCTATTTGTTTCACAATCGGTTCCTGATTGGTTCGCTCCCAGAGATCCCTGTTGCTGATCTTTTCTGGCCATCTGATCTTGAGTATTGAGCGGAGACAGTTGTTAATGAAGGTTTGAAGTTTGTTTCAAGTAAGGCATACTGAAGCCTAAAAGAATGGCTACGTATAAAATCACTGTGATAGTTTTTGAAACTATGATAAAACCCATTGGAAACTGAAATGCAGAAGTTAGACCATTAAGACTTTGATAATAGAATGTTATATGTATGTGAGCAATGCAACTGATGAAAGAAATTCAAATATGAAAGTCAGTTTCCGACTAAAATATGCAAAACTGCTTAAAATAATTCATGCTGTTCATTTCCCAGCATTTTTTGTTAGAATTAAACACCTGGATTTAAATGATGTTTCTCACTTACTTATGCCCTTTAAGTGATTTGAAAAATCGTTTCCATTTTACTGAGAAGTCGTAATCCCGTTTTCTTCCCCTTCTTTTAGACCTACTGTTATCCGGTGACTTGACTCAAACAATGATCACAATCATGAATCCAAGTGTGGCTGATACTCAGAAAATGGGTCGAATGACTCAAAATTATAACAACAACACCAGTAATATGAATGGTAAAGCTGTGATGCCAAGTGTAATGAAGGGTTCAATTAATGGAATGCAAATCCAACATCAATACACCACTACACCAGTCAATAATATCCCCCCTCTAAGTACAGTTGGACAGAGTTTAGTATTCTCGAATGGTGCATCCTTAGGAACGTCGACTGCACTTCTTGGAAATTTACCTCCACCCCCTGCACCTCCTCCTCCTCCGCCACCAACTCCACCACCACCACTACCCGGTACTTTACCTCCTATTCCAGTGACTTCCATCAATCTTGATGGTGGCGGTGCCACACCTGATCTCTCTGGATATTCCGGATTTCCTAGCAGCCTGCCCAGTACACAGCATTTTATGAACACATTGTCTTGTCAGGTGAATGGATATCTAACTTCTAGCCCATATATGCAGACTAGTATTGGCCATAATAATCAAGCTGGCAGTTTAGGAACTGAGTAAGTATTATTTGCATTGTGTATGCCTGTCAACATTTAATGGGGTATGAAGTTAATTTTATCGTTTATGATCTAGAATCCGTATCATTACTGTAGCTTCTCGAAATCCTTGTTTTATGACAGAGAAGAGAAACAACTAGTGTGAAAGCTGAGCTTCCTAGATGGGATTATACCATCAGGAATCGCTATTGCTCTCAACAATAATAAACACTCTTGGGGGATAAAACTCTAGAGCACTCTTCAGGTAAAAAAACTAACTACCTTTTTTGTTCACACATCAGTAGGAAGAATACCTTTAAAGGCATCTGGCCTCGGAGATCCACGGCAATGACTCGACTTTCAGAAAAGACACCAGTTCTGAAGGCTTGTGCTGATTACCCCACACCGTCCAAAAGGATATAAATCTTTTAATTAGCTTTTGTATAGCAAAAAACAATAGGAATTTAATTGTTGGATGGTGACTAGCAGTGGGATCCAAGATGCGCATTTCATCCTATTTTGGGACTCGTCATCTGGATGTACCTGCATTACCCAGTGAGTGGTTATGTTCCCTCCGAGGCCTGAATTCATTGCCTATAGTTTCAAACGCCAAAGCGTTATCCACTAGACCACTTGGGCCAAGAGAGCCACCTCTTGTGCAAAGGGTCATATTAATTTAATTGAATCGAGACCGAGCACTTCGGCCCAATTGATCGACGGGAAAATCTAAAATTCAATTAAAAAAACAATAAGCTTATTTATGAAAGACATTGAGACACAAACAGAATTGCCAGTGCAGAATCTTCAGGCAATGTAACAACCGGTAATATATCGTCTGAAGCAATAATATTTCATCCGAAGCATGTCCCAATAGGAATTACCAATGCTCTTCCCCCATTTCATTCGAGAAATTCCTAGCTATAGGTAGAAACTTATGTAAAATTACCCACGAGAATAGATTGCTGGTCATTGTGGCAGTCTAATAATTAAAACACTATGAAGTTAAGTAAGCACAGCGGTTAGGACGCTCGTCGACCATCCACAAGGTCCAGGGTTCGATCCCCGACCACGGACTCACTCCTTTACCTCGCTAAACCAGAAGTAAAGCTGGTAAAGAGGAAAGGTTGAGCATGAGGCTAGCAACCCCATCCTGTAAAAATAAACACTGCTACAGCAACTTCAAGCTTTCAGCTTGAAGCCCTATGTTCCACTGGGAACATGAAGAAAAAAATGGTGATAAGTGGTAGACCGTATGCCTGAATCACCATCCTGCTTTCATTAATTTGAAATAAGTACTACCGATGTGTAGCGGTTTTCTTAGTTATGACTAATGAAAAAACTGTATTCCATTCATAAGTTAGTCAGTGGTTAAGTGCTCACCAACGACTATACCTTGAATGATTCGCTTGGCAGTAGTAAACCTGGAAGGGAGGGAAGATTGGGAGTGAGGCTAACGGTCTCACAAAGTAAAAAAGCGGTACCATCACTAATGGAACCTGGAGCCTTATGTTCCACTTCTAGCACAAAGGAACAGGAAAACAATGAGAAATTCCAATTACATAACTTTTGAAACATGCGCCGTTTTTGACAACATAGAGTTTAGAATAAAGTATTTTAAACAGACTATTTGAATCAGTTAAATTATGCAGAAGCCTCACTGAAACACTTTAGTTTATTGAGCATATCAGGGTTGTTTATTATATGCGTCAGAGGGTATTTTATCATCCCTCTGCTAAAATACCATACAAGAAGTTTAGGTCGCTTGAAGAATAAGCTGAGTCGTGAATCTTGATAGTTTATACGACTCGTGAGTAGGGTTTTTGAGTTAACTCTGCATCGAATCCGCAAAGTTTTGAGCGGTAGAAGATGCCGTCTTCTATAACGCTATGACATTTAACTTTCAAACCAATTAACTGAATCCAAAGGTTTATTATGTCAGACTCAGTTATCATTCATTACCTTACCACTTAAAAAAATCTCAGAATTAATTCGCTACTTGATCTAGCTAGCAAGCACTACTGGTTGGTGTGTGTGTGTGTGTCTAGTACCCAGCTACTGACATCTCAGCTAATCAGTAGTATGTAGCATCATTGAAAAGGAGTATATTTTTGTTTTACTCTAAAAGCCTTTTTAGAGTTGCTCAAATGCCATGCAAAGAAATAATTCTAAAACAAATGTTTTTTTTTATTTGTCTAGAGCTGATGAATATTTTATACACACGTATATTTGAACCTTCATATATAATCTGCTCAGAACATATTACGCATGATTAGATTTTCCCCTAACATATATATATATACATATGGGTTACTTTTTTTGAAATATTCCTAATGGAGAAGTCATGTCCTGCATGGTATATGTTCCTGCACCGGAAATAACATAATCCATTCTGCACTGACTCGTATTGTTCATAAGTTGGACTGTAACACAAATTAAACAGATATTCATTCATTTTATTATCAGGAAACTGAATTATTGAGATTTTGTTGGAAACTACTGTAGATCCCATAGGTATTATTTCCCGATTATATGCTTTCTTGTAGTGTTGGTTGGATAGATAGCACTAGCTGAACCACACTACATCTTATCCAAGTTAAGTTTTTTTTTTCACATTTTGGCGCATACTTCAGCTTCATAAATCTGTTCTAGATAGATATAGACTCATCCACAGTAATTTAGATAGGCTTGTTTGGTTTTTAGAATATCATTAAACTCTTCAGCTGCATCAGGTGTCATTTCCAGGTTCATCTATCGCAGGGTGTATATAGCCTTTCTAAGTCATCAGTGGAAAACAAGTGATCTGATGAATTTATTAAAACCTTTTACGCATATTTCATGTACAGTGTTCATGTGGTTATCTGATTATTTGTTGCTCAAGCTTCGTCCTTAAGTTCACCCCATGTCTCACGACATTTCCCCATAGGTTATGCCGAATTCGCCCTATAGAAATCAATCAGTTCCATGGGGATGAAAACATATTCATTCTACTTTACCTTCTGTCCCTCTTATTTATGATTTATTTTTGTTTGGAGAAATTTCAGTTTCACACACACACATACATGACCTCTGAACTTATTTTTCTCACCTTTAAATTGATTTATTGTGGTGACATGCATTGATAACTGAGTTGTGGTAATATCATCTCTATATGGTTAGGTGAAAGCATTTATGCAGAGCTGTGTATATTAGATTCTTATCAGCTCTATGAGAGTCAATGAGACTCATATCCGATAACCGCTAGATTGGGGGAAATTTAAGGTCAAAATCTAATTGAAGTTCATGCGGCTAACACTACCTCATGTAGAAAATCATTAAGCATACAGCAGTGTTAATTTTTTTGGATTTAAACACTAATGAACACCTTTATGATGTCATTAGGCATCTTTTGATAAAGAAAGGACTATTATATATCACGAGTTAATCAAAGAAAATCATGTCGGAGGGCCAAATATAATCCAGATTTCATTGTGTTGTAAGCTCTTTATACACTAACCATGTTACAATCCCTTCTTGAGTTGTTACAGACAAGTACCAAAATAATAGGCATGACTGACTTGCAGAACAAGCAGAATAGGAAGATGATATCTACTGAAAATCGATATACACAGTTGAGAACCGCACCCATCAACTAGCAGTGCTTGCTTCAAAAGTATACTGTGGTGCATTTTCACCTGTATTTGTATGCAAATAATTGACCCAAATGCCTGACTAGAATTCTCGTGGTCTGAATTGATTTGGATCATCGAGATGAGTTTAGGGAGGGCGGGGTTAGGAAACCTCTGACGAGCACAGCTTTAAACGACGGAAGCGACCATCCGGTTTTGATATCACCTTAATTTGATTGGCAATCAATACTGCTTGATGTGGGTAACTTCCGACTACATGCATCAATTAGCAGTGTATATGATCATAGCTTTTTTTTTCCTTCACGTTCCCAGTGGAACATAGGGCCTCAAGGTAGAGGCTTGAAGTTTCTGTAGCAGTGTTTATTTTTTACAGGATGGGATTGCTAGCCTCAAGCCCAACCTTCCCTCTTTACCAGTGTCACTACTGGCTTAGCGAGGTAAAGGAGTGCGTCGGCCGCGGATCGAACCCTGGACCATGTGCATGGCCGGCAAGCGTCCTAACCGCTGTGCCACCGACGCGCAAATGATCATAGTAATGCAATTTAATTTATTGTTGACCACGCAACTGGTCCAGTGTTCGATCCCAGTTCAATACACTCTTAAACCTCGCCTGGCCGGTAGCAAGCCCGATAAAGAGGGGAGGTTAGGAGTGAGGCCAGCAAACTCACTCCGTAAAAAATGAACACCACTTCAGCTGAAATTTCAGAGCTTCAAGCTTAAAGCCCTAAAGTAAGTAAGTAAAGTAATGAAACAATAATTAAATAAAGTGTGCAAGCAGGTGGAACATAGTGGTGCTTGCAGTAATGTCTTCGGTCATAGATATTTCTGTAGAGTTTTCAAGAAGCTTTTTGGAAAGTGAAAGTTAATTTTTTGATGTTTAATTTTGATTTTCTCTTCACAGGCCTGCATATGTTGAGTCTGACGTTGCTTTACCCAGAATAGGATGTGGACAAAACTTCACTCCATCTAATCTTCCACCGGTAGGTGCTGGAAACATGAATGGCCCAAATGAAAGTTCTTCAGGTCCTTCTACAGCCAATACAGGAACAGCTGTTACAGCGGTTGGCTCCTGTAACGGAGGTAGTAGCAACGGATCTATGGGATTGCCTATAAATGGTTGTCTGACAAGCAGAAGTCCAAATTTCAATGTAAATTATCTGAACTCAGAAACCGATGCATGTGATGAAAAGTGTAGACCACAATCTGGCCTATATCATGAATTATCGTTGGACAGAATTTCCACCAGTCGGTCACTTTCATGTGAATTTAAAGAATCATTTGATTTGGATACTGTTGTGCGAGCAACCATTTCCTGTAACGGTGATCAACTCGCCTTACCAGAATCAGGTATGTGTATTAACTGTTAGTATATATTGCCTAGCCATGAGTATATCCTGAAAATTAGGCATATAGCCTTCAACCAGAGACACAATTCCTCATAACTTTCACGTGACGCAAACGGTAATTTCATTGTCAGTAATTAAATCAAAATTTATGGATGCTAAGCAAAAATCTTTCCAACGTAACCTGTTCAATCCGTTTATCGAAAGTGAAGTGAAGGAGTGAGCATAGACTGGTGATCAAAATTTATAAATACTAGTTAATGAGGTCAAGGCATCTGTTTTTATGTCGTTGTTAATTATTATTACCTTGGGTTCTGAGTGGAGCATAGGGCTTCAACTACACATCTACACTTTGTTCTATTTGGTATTGTCCTCTTCAGCTGGGTCTACCATCGCTCATAATCTCCCATCTCCTCCTCACCACATTATCCCCTCTAAGTCACCCTAGAAGTGACGGATCCCACTCGGGCTATGGTCTGGCGTGCGATGTCACTCGACGGCTTCATCGGCGTATGCCGCAATCTATTTCCATTTTCTCCTACACATTTGTCTAGCAATCACCTCTTGGTTGGTTTGTTCTCAGCTGGCCAGAGTTTTTTGCTACTAATTATCTTTGGCAGGCCGTTTAATCTTCAGTATGGAGCCGGTCAGCGAAATTAGCAGCTGTTTATAAAAGTCTGCAGCTTGTTGGAAATTCTTTCCCTGACACGCCGGCCAAGTTTCTGACACATATGAAAGAAATGACTGACTGACTGAATTCACTGGCATCTGTGTTTAAAATCCAAATCTTGTTCTTTGTGGTGGTGAGTCAGTGCAGAAGATTTCCAAAGTGGTTTCAGACTGATTAAGGAGTATCTCGCGTTTCCGATTCTGGTTGGCTGGCGGGCTTTGAAATCTTCATTCATTCCTAGTACCTGTGGCTGACACAGTGCTTCCTAGCCGAATAAGTGAAGGAAGTGACCTCTTTCAAATCTCTCCCGGTGATGGTAGTTGGTGCTGGTTGTTGTTGCTGTTGATTAGTTATCTTCATCACCTCCTACTTCTATATATTCACTTGAAGTCCCGTCTTCACTGTCTGCTTCTTCAGTCAGTTCGTTGGTTTTCACCTACCTGTAAGTCTTCGAGTTTGTATAACATTTAACATAACTCATCTACACACGAAATCCAGATCTTCTAGAGTTTTCTTATCGGTCAGTGCAGAGTATTCCTGTCTTCTCACTCCCAAAATAAAATCTGACGCATAATCCATTCCAGCATAATTTGGAACATCGTCGATAATAATAGACAGGCTGCCTTGTCTTACTCCTGCATTCACTTTAAATGCCTCTCTGCGTTTTCCGTTGTGGATCACTTGAGACGTGGCATTGTCATATAGCTGTTGAATGAGCTTGGTAAATACTTGAACACTGCACGCCGTAGTTTTGAATCATTTTCCAAATTATTTCTCGATACGATCAACGCTGTCTGTTACAGGCCTTTTCAAAATCGATGAACTTGGGGCACAATGTCTCTGTGCATCAGTTCATGAATCAAGATGTAGCAGACAGATGGTAAATATGTTCATGTATCTTTGAGAAGGCATGAATAAGTTGGATGATCTGTGTTTAATGTCGTACAATTTCGAAGGTTTACAGGTGAAAACTAACAATTCGGCAGAAGAAACAGAGAAGACACAGTTTCAATTGAACATGGAGAAGATAGTAGTGACAAAGATGCCCAGCCAACAACAGCAAACACCAATTGCTATTGATCAAAGAAATCTGAAGGAGGTCACCTATTTCGCTTATCTAAGCAGCACTGTTTCAACTACACATAGCATAGATGTCAAACCCAGGGAAAGCAAGACAGACCTTCATCCCTCTGATATAAGAGTGGAAATCTGATTCGCTCTGCAAAAGGAAAACATATTCGGATTTTCTACACTAATGTTAAACCAGTTTCTCTACATGACACAGAGAATTGGCGCATCACAGAAAAGATTTCTAAGAGGCTACCGACTTGCATCGACCACTGTCTTCACCGGCTCCATACTGAAAATCAGATGGCCAACAGGAGAGGATTAGCAGCAAAGAAATCTGGCAACGTACCAACCATGAGGCCACTGCCCTAAAAAAGAGATGTAGATGGATTGGATACACATTCAGGAGATCGTTGGGTTGCATCACATTACAGACCATCGCTCTAGTCAATCCCGAATTGGAAACGACTAGTTTTGCACCCCATTGTTTGACATGGAAGAGATTGCCTGAAAAGGAAATGAAACCTCATAGGGGATTGTGGAGCTAACTAACGGTGACTGCAGAGAACAGAAGATGTCCTGTTGTATCTAATTTGGACTCAAGGGATTGGTAATAATGGTTCTTTTCTAATTTTTACATCTATCCTGATGGCAGTAGATTTGAGTGAAATCCACTTCAGCGACTAGACACCTTTTGTATTTGTACACCAGATTTGGTTAGGCTACACTGCACCTACTTCAGAAAAATTCAAGAGACATAATTACTATGGTGTAAAATGAAATATTTTGTTAGTAATTAATTTTATCTGAACTACAGTATAGGCAATAAGAGATATTCTGTTTATCACTGCCTCTCCTCTTCATTCTCTTCCTTTCTCTCTTTCTTTCTTTCAATCAAACTATCTACACATCTCATCGTATGTTCGTCTTTGTACCTCCCCATCTAACACCAACACCACTACCAACAACATCAACAACATTGTACTTGATCTACGAATTCATACACACTATACAAACATATATGCGCATATATATGCATATATGTGTATACACTACTGTTGATGCTGACGAACAGGTGTTTTCCTGACTATACCCCAGGGAGCATTACAACTGAATTCTCTGGTTGAAGTCTATTTGGCGATTTGCAGAGAAGATAAACATCGTCCTACACTAGGAGGTGAGATTTTATTTTAGTACTTCATTCGTATACTTCTTTTTTGATTAAAGTTGTGTTATTTTTACTGATGCATGTGTTTTTCTTTTTTAACAATATATTTTCATGTCGCTAACTAGATTTACACAATATTATACTACTTAGTATTATGAAAGTATTTTAACAAACTTATAAGCTGTACATTTTCTGGGCACTTTTATTTGAATATTAATTTTACAGCATACATGCATACATACGTACGTCTCGATGGGGCTTAGATGAATCATACTCACTACAAATTATTCGTATTACAGTTCGAAATACTTAACACTTTTAGTGTGAGCGAAAGAAGATAACTATGCAAAGCGCGACTCTTGTTAGGTTTTCAGGATTTGCTAAAGGTTTGCTCACTAGTCGAGACCAGTTATAGAGAACCGTTGGAAGAGCAGGTAGCAGTGGATAGCTGTTTCATCCTAGTCTGGGACTTCTCTTCAGCAGTACTCACCCTGTAGCGGTTCAAAGCGAAGAGTTTCTGGTTCCAGGGTGAACTTGTGAAGCATTCAAACACTTGGACGTGACCTGATGCTTCATGAATTCTGGTCCGTACAGATTCGTGATATATATATATATGTATATGACGCAACCATCAACTACTGTCATCGGCAAGTTACTGTCGTCTCATCTGATTTAGTGGATCTCGTTGGTAACGGCATCTCACTAGAACTCCAAGTAACCTCTTGCACAGAGTCACTCCCTAATGAACATTAGATAAATTTTCAAGTGTTAGTTTGCCGGGATTTGATTGGTTATACGTTTGATTCCTGGACAGTCATTTTAAGTTGACACTTCTTCATGATCTGAAGAATTAGCCCACGTGAATGAAAATGCACATTTGTGGCCTATCATGTAATGCCTTAATCTCTACCAATCTTTTCAGATAATTAGGCACATCAGTAAAACTAACATGCACAAGAGGAATATGAGTGAAATATACACAGGATATCAGAAGTAATCTGATGAAGTGAACTGAAAGTTACTGAAATATACACTCACTGGGAGATTCAAGCTCAGTTCAGTAAACTGTTAGGCTCTAATCTTTATTAGATTGACGTTGAACTTGGGTAAGCACTGGGCGACGCGGGTTCGAATCTCAGAAGACACAGTGGTTAGGACTCTCGCCAACCATGCACATGGTCCTGGGTTCGATCCCATGTCGACGCGCACCTGATATCTATGGTTGGCCTGCAAAATTTGGGCTACAGATATCACATGCTGAAAATCCCATACCTGTACGAAAAAATACAGTGTGAAATCAAGCTGTGATCAAAAATAAAAATTAAAAAAAAATAAATATGTATATCTTCTACTGCCTAGGCTTCATAGCTAAAAATGCAGAATACGGAGACTTTTCTTCTCGCACAAATCTTTGTACTTAGACAGGTAGGAGATAAAATCACACGACTTTACATACATATTTGTCTATCCCTCCTTATAAACTCGATAAACTAGACTATAATTCAGTTTATCTTTTCTACGGGCAAAAAACAACAACAACTCTCTAATATATTTCTACTCACATGAAAAATTTATGCATGATTAATCATGTTAGCAAAGTGCTCAGTATCAGTGTCATCATAACAGTTGCGGAGATAACTATTTTGCCCCAGGCTAATGTGTGAGTATTTTTCAGTGTTGTTCAGTCACAGCAACAATTTTATTTGCTTTAAAGATAATCTTTTTTCTTTTTTCTTTACAACACGTTTTGGGTAGGAGACTAAATCATAGTAACTACGCGTGAAATATTAATTCATGCTGACTTAGGCCTTTAAGGACAATCTGTTAGAGCTGTTAGGGCAATCTTCCCCTTGAGCTAGATTATGGGACAGATTTGCAGTAAATATGAAAAGTCAAAGGGATATATCCGGGGCAGATTAATTTACAGCTCAGTAAAACAGTAGAGTGATGCTTGTTAGAAAGCAGGTGAACCGTCTCTTTCTCGCCATATATATACATATATTCTCGAGTAGGCTTTGCTGTTATGCACTAGTTTAGATAGCTATTACTAGCTTTAACTATTACAATAATTAAAAGAAGAGTCTTACTCAACTTGTAACAAGACTTCAAGTAACTGGGAGTATTAACTGGTCAAACTAATTGGTTTCTAAACAGTTTTGTTTTATCATTTCTCTTATATTTACTTCAGTCAAAGAGGCTATGAATATGACGCATTAATAGTAACGAAGTAATGATTCTGATCTAAAGTGAAAATACAGACACTAATACTCGTTCTATTACTTAAGATTACTTCATGTCACCTCAATAAGGCAGTATAGAATGGATGGGATAGAAACATTCTCACATAATTCATTTCTCTGCACTGTGAGCGGAATATACCGCTTTAAGTTTGAGCACTGATATCTCAACAGCAGCGGTGTTTTTTATACGGTTTGAGGTTGCTAGCCTCATTCTCAGTCTTTCCTGTTAGATAAGCAAGGTGTGTAGACATGTGCTGGCAAGGAATTGAACAAATACCACGTGCGTGGTTAGCAAGCATTCTAACACTGAACCATCGACGAACTAATACTTACATAATTTACTATAATAATGTTATTATTAATCCCATGGCCTAACTGTTCGTTCCACTGATATTTTCGTTGATTGACGTTATTACTGCTTAAACAGAATTAATACTGCTCAGTCTGCTATCCTCTGAAGGTGTGATTTCTGGGAAAATACAGTTTCCTCACTTAAATTTATGGTATCAGTGAAAATACAATAAGATGTTTGATTGTACACAAGTTTTAGAAATAGGTTTCTTACGCTAGAGCGACTAGTTAAGACAGCGCACCCATATGACTTTCACAACTTGTACTATCTGATATTTTGTTCAGAGATACCATCACTAAGCCGATGACCATTTTTGTTCCTCAAACTGTAGATGCAGACCCATCTGTTCACGATTACTAGAAAAAAGACAATTTAAGAGTACGCACCGTCTATAGATTGACTGTCGTTGACCAAGACTGAAATACTTATTATTATGACTGCTTCTGCCGACTTCAGTTTGTAGTCATACTTCTAAAATGCTAAGTGAAATGCAGATAGCATATAAAAGAATTCAGTCGACAGTAATTTTTACAATTAGATTTCTCACTTTCTAAAATAGTTAGTGCACTTCATAGCATTTCATGTGAGCAATGATGTTTGAAAACCAGTTTTCAGAATTTCATCAAACATCGGAAGCATAAATTTATACTTCACTGAAGAGCTAGCATTTTTGTGCTGTTTAGCCCAGGTTGACGATTTCCTATTCAGTTATCAAATTGAGAGAAACGACAGTTAAAGCTAAAAGTTAACTTAAGGCGGCTAGAGGTATTTAGTGATATTGATTCCTACAGGACTGCAGGTGCGTCTCTCTGACAGGTGTAAATAAGCCCAAAACTAAGTTCCAGAGATTTCGAAACTAGACGGTTATGCAAATGGAAATAATCCTTCTGATTTTGAAATAAATTTCAGCGAAAACTATCCCAAGACATTCCTAAGAATTTTCAGGTATAGGTTTGTAGAGATTTTGTTTGGTTATTCGGAGGATTTAATCATGAGCTGACATCAGTTAGAGGACCATTGGAAAAACCACCTGAGAGTACTGGACAGCTGTCAAGTTCGTCCAGTTTGGGTATCTTCATCAGTGAGCTCCCATCGCCAGGGTTCGAACCTAGGACCTTCTGGTTACAGGGCGAGCCAGCTCGTAGAACATTACACCATCGGTACACGACCCAATGACCCATGAACTCCAACTTCTGCCTATTCACGACATAGCGAAACCACTTTGTAATGTCTTTGATGAGCAACTGCCCTCATCTTCGACCAGCTGATGTACCCTATTGGTCACGGCTTCTCACAAGGACCCCAGGTAAATACCTACCTGAAAAGGGCCATTTGCTGGGGAGCATCAGATCAATTTTTAAGTATTGGTTTTGTAGAAATTTTGTTAGAGGATCGTTGTCCAGTACTCTCAAGTGTTCCAAGTTTTCTAACCAGTGTCAGCTCATAATGAAATCCTCCAGACATTCCTAAGACAATTAAATCACCATTGTAGACTTGACTGCATGTTATTGTGTTTCTTTAACTGTCGTCTTTAAGAACACTGATCATTGATTTAAAATTAAAATCGACTTCAAATGCTGTAAATTGCACAATACTCTTTTGTGTGAGTAAAAATTTAGGCACTTGATAATGTACAATTACACAGTACACCGCCTGCTTTCATGCCAATACATAGAAAGGAAGGTTTGATTATCGCAGCACCTCCCTATTGAGGTATTTTATGATTTCAAAATGAAAAAAAAAACTACTGGACAACGTAGCTTACTTGACTGTCCACAATACAGGCTGGTTTGCTGATTTAATTACTTGCCTTAAATATTTATGCTATACCACATATGGTATACACGTAAATCTGTACACATATATGTGTACAGTATAGTTAGTTGATAAAGTGTAGATGATGATTAGATATAATCGTCTGCAAAACTAAATATTCCAGGTGTGTTAAAGCGTAGTAGGAAATTTTACTTTTTTTCTTGCAATAGAATTAAAGTTAACTCCTGAAAAACAGTCAGTCAGTCAGTCAGTCTAGAAGGAGATTATTTTAGCTAATATCAATAATGAAATATGTATGGTAAGTCAATTTGAAAATGGTCGATCTGACTGTATCACTGCTTCGTACTACTAATTCATGTTTCCGTATTGTCTTTCGCTTTGTCGACGCGCACGATCTGTATGAAACTTATGAACAGAAATGAATTGACGCCATAAGATTAAAATTATATTGCAGTTTAATAGGCATTGAAAAATTGCCAAATCTCTCATTAATCTTTATTTCAAGGATTAGTCTGTCGAGGTCTAATTTTTTTCTTCAGGTCTAATCATAGGCTAACGTCAGTTAGAGAATCACTACAAATCAGAAGGTACTTGAAAGTTGCTTCGTTCTGGCCTGTGACTCATCAGTAGTATGCATCAAT